TTGCCCCTGCCAACCCTCCCCTCCCAGCCTTAAGCAATATTTCATGTTAACAACGACTTTGGAGAGAATACAAGTTGTCACTTAGGCCTCTGTAATGTTCACCTAGCTCCTTTGTGAGAGAATCACAAAAGCTTTTCACTCATGCAAACATCCTCTTCCCTCGTTCCACTTATTAAAGGTGTTCTGAGTAGCGGTTTTGCCCACCCACATGCATATCTGCAGCCCTGCCTTTTTATCAGCAGAGCCAGAAAACATTTAAGCTGCAATATTCACCAAGGAATTCTTCTTCTTCTTCTTTTTTTTTTTCCACAGCTAAACATTTGCACTCAGGACAAAAAAGACAAATATCTCCATTGTTGAGGAGCCACTTGTTGGATCGTGAGAAGTTTTCAGCTAGAATTCTTTCACTGACAATCAGACAGTCACGACTGTCTGTCATCATGGAATGTCCAAGGTTAAGACAGACGGCACGATTTCAATATCATTGTTGCTTTAACTGTTTTCCAGTACCTGAACAATCCACAGTTCAGTTCTCCTGCTGAGACTCTGCCTGTTTCATGTGAATGTTCTCTAGGTTCTCTAGGTCTCTAGGTGTTTTTTTTTTGCCTTCAGACATGCCCAGACAACAAGACGTATGAACTAGTTTGTTTCACACATACTTTGACATCGAGAATGCCACTCTCCCAGGATCGGGGGAAAAAAACATTACCAGTAGGGATGGTAATCTCTAAGTATCTCACAGAACAATACCATCCTGACACAGTCCACTGTGTGATATAAAATGAAATCACCAGAAATGAATGTCATTCTAATCCATTAATAAGAAATATCACTGGATATATATAAAAATCTATTGAAAATCAATTGATTTCTAAACATAAGTGCTAACGACTGATGCAACTCTTATATTCATGAATGAACTAAGTCTTACACGTTTAATGTCTTTAGTGAGACGTTTAAACCTTTAATGAGGTTTAAACGTCTCCAAAAGTTTCTTTTGTTATTGATATTCAACACATTTAAAGGTGGAGACATCAGTCCTAGAAAGAGTGAAGACTTGAACAAACCAGATACTAAGTAAAACAGGTCAACGTCTGCAGTAAGAACCAGAGCCTCTGTGAGAGAGTGCAGCAGCAGCAGCAGTAACAGAAACAGAAACATTACCAGGCGCTCACTGATCCCCACAGTCTGACTGTGTTATTAGCTCATCATTTATGGGTCAAGTCAAAATCATTCTGCCATATGATTAGCTGAACCCGTTCTGTGTTTCCTACGGCGCAGACATGGAAGTGGCAGGACGGAGCCTCATGTGGTGTTAAGCTCAATGAGCGGGCTTCTGTCTCATAGTGTTCTATTGTCCTCCCTCCAGTGTGTCCACGTCCGCACAAGTGGCATTGACAGCTGCAGCGAGACAGCATTTGGGACTCTGCATATTTGTGTGTGTGCATTCATTGTCCAGGTGCAGACCGTGCACAGGACTTTGCGACGTCCGTCGCCGTGTCTTTTACCTCCGCCGTTACACTGCGCTGTATTGTGATGTCACGGCTCGACCTTGGCCAAAGCTACGGCTCTGGTCTCTGGTCTTTGGTTTTCTGCTTCACTCAGGATCTCTTCCAGACAGGTGCATTTTTTGCTGCTGGCTCAACAGTAGTGTAACATGTGCTGTTTTACAGCTGTTGGACAGTGGGCCAAAAAGGTAGCTGTTATTTCCTGCAGTTGTCAGGAGGAGCCTGAAATGGCTTTATAGCCTGGGTCTCCCATGTCAGCTCCTCCTCTGAGCTGGAGGAGAGGAGCAGTGGCTGGATTGGACATGTCAGGAGATCAGAGCTGGGAGAAATGACAGAAACAAAAGCAACAGAATGTGTGTGTGAACAGACGAGGGAACACCAGGAACAACAACCTAATGCTTGTTATTTGTGTCAACTTGTCTGTTTGAGCACCGACTTGTCCCAGTCACTCAGCAGTGAAGTCCATCTACACCCTGTTAATGATCTCTCCTTTGTTACACACTTCACTGGAAGCCTTTTGTTACAGCTCCATTCATTATCCGTTTTAATATCAACACGTCTGACACGTTGGCAAATGTTTGCGCCGTCGCATAATGACTTAAATATTGTACGGCGTCCATTGTGTGTCGCTGCTGTTGCTGTGGTCTTAGTGTTGCTCTGTGTCCGCGTTCAGCCTCATACACTCTGCAGTTTGCGAGGCGGCGTCGTAACTACTTTGAAAACTCAGGTGAAATCATAGCAAAGCATATGAAATTTAACACTGAATGAGTCGTTAGCCTGGCGCCCGGGAGAACGATCACACATTGGTCGGTGAAACCCACTCATGTCCAGCAGTGAAAGTCTTCATTTTAAACTTGGATTAGATGGAGCTGAAGAAGTTGGTTCTATGGCTGCTCTGTCAAATGGAAGTCACCAGAACAGAACAGTCAGTACATCACACTCAAATGAAATGGATAGCAATTGGTGCACGGAACACACTGCACTACTCCATTGTTTTTTCTATAAAGGCCTCATTTTTAATTTTTTTTTGTTGTTGTGTCAGTGATTGTTGCCAAGCTTCAAACACGAGTTTGTCTTGTGTGTCTGCACACACAGGGTTAACGTGCACTTGTGGAAACTTGTAGGACTACAGGCGCAGCTATTGTAAATTAAATTCATGAACATTGTTACCACACCCTCACTGGCTGTAATCCTGCTGCACATAGAACCATGATAACGGCCCACGTTGGTTCTTGTCACCTGTGTGTGTGTGTCACCGCTGTGTGTACATACTGTAAAGTGTGTGTGTGTGTGCTGAGCAGCGCAGCACACACATACAGTTTGGGCAGAATGTTTTCACACTTGCAGAGTTATGGCGGTACGTGCGTGCGTGTGCGTGTGTGCGTGCATCAGTGCGTGCAAGGCCACTCTTTTTAACTGGCTGCAGCTCCAGCTGTCCCCTGATTACCCAGCATCCTCCAGGTGTCAGATCTGCCATCTGTAGTTGAGTGGCAAGGCATGTGGAGTGGAGGAATGGAGGGAAGAAGAAGGAGGAGGAGGAGGAGGAGGAGGAGGGCTGACAGAATAACTGGTTCTTGGAGACATCTGGAACGTGTTCAGGCGGGTCAGCCAACGCTGCAGAGTGCAAGCGGCGCTCACCGGTTTCTAACCCGCAGTCGCACGTTTGGAAAAAGTCCTTTTTCCACTTTTGTGGGGCAGAAGTCTAGAGAGAGAGAGAGAGAGAGAGAGAGAGAGAGGAAGTTGCTCTCCCAGCAGAAGTGTGTTTGTTTCTGTTTGTAACATCATTATTATTATTATCAGTATTCTATTATTTAAGGACTTCCTGGAGAACATCCTTTGACTGGGTTTGGTCAGAATTAGTCTTAATCGTGCCCTAAGAGAAAAAGGCCATTTACTAATTCATTTAGTCGATTCTGTACATGAATAAAAGATCACACACACACACACACACACACACACACACTCAGTGTGGGTTCTTTCTTCTTCATTGTTCTCAATTAGCCTCAAATTGTAGAATCAAAGGAGTGTGTGTTTGGCCTCTCTGTTCTTCAGCTGCTGTGTTAAGGCGGGGTCACGTTCTACTGTGATGTTACTGGAACGCAGCCTCTCCGTGTCAGCGAAGCTTTTCTCTTTAAGTCAGTTTCCTCGTTTGCTTTTTTCCCTCCTTTATTTAATTATCGTCCTTCCATTCTCAATTAAAG